GGGTTGTGAGGGCTGGGCGCGTCTGGCGTCCGAGCGGGAGGAGGAGCGCGCTCGCCCCCGCTCTGGGCGTGCGCGCTCGTCTGCAAGCAGCTTCGTCTGCGCAGAGAGGTGATGTCTTAGGGGAACGAGGAATGACATAAACATAACAATTCGGAGGTCCGCGCGGATTTCTCGGATCGGCGCTGGGCCCCCCTCCCTGGCGCGCGGAGCGCGCCAGGGGCGGAGCGCGCCAGGGGCGGCGCCGGAGGCGCCGCCGGGGGGCCCCAGCGCCGATCCGAGAAATCCGCGCGGACCTCCGAGTTGTTATGTTTATGCCACTTTTTTGTTCCACTATGTTTGCACACGTTCGCCGGCGTGGGCTCCACGCACTGTGTGGATGTCTCGCAATCTATGCTGTGCGATCTGCGTGGGGCAATATATGTGGTGCAGTCCATGTGGTGCCACATATATATATACATAGGGATATATATATATATATATATATATATATATATGCGGTGCACTCTATGCCGTGCAGGATCTGTGGTGCTGTCCGTGCGCCGCACGATTTGCGGTGCAGTGACTACTACTTCGCCCACGCCCAGAGGGCCGGTGTGATTTTTCGATGGCGTCAGTGGCCACATGGAGCCCGCGAGGTCTTCGACTCCGCGCGTTGCCTCTGCTCTCGTGGGCGGGGCGGGGCCGCGCCGAGGAGGCGGCGCCTTCCGCGTCCGGCGGCGCCGGCGGCGCGCGTGCGCAGGGCTTCTACCCGAGCGCGCCGAGGGCAGGCGCGGTGGCGGGCAGGGCCATCCAGAGTCGGCCTCCTCCTCCTCCCTCCTCCTCCTCCTTTCCGCCTCCTCCTCCTCCTCCTCCTCCCTCCTCCTCCCCTCCTCCTCCTCCTCCTCCTCCCTCCTCCCTCCTCCCTCCTCCCTCCTCCCTCCTCCTCCTCGTGCGCCCCTCGTCTGCGGGGGAGGGAGTTCTCTGAGATGGTTTTGTGTTCTCCAGCGGTCGCAGATGGAGGACGGGGGACGGGGTTTGAGATGGCGAAGCGGTCTCGGTCTTCCAAGCCTTGATGACCATCATACTCCACCCTTCCTCTTGCCCCCCGCTGTCTATATCTCTCTCTCTCGCTCCCTCAGTCGTTAGTCTCCACCTAACGATCTAATATCTCACCTCCCACCCTCACCCTACACTCTCACACTCGCCAGTGTTTCGTAACTCTGGCTCCCTCCTTCGGCTGGCCGCGGATAGGGGCTAACGAACCATCCCACACCACCGTCGTCAGCAACAACAATGCAAAGCTCACCTGGCGGCGAACATTGGACCATGCGCGTGCACCCCACCATCAACTTATCGTATCGAATTTGCTTTGGACAAGGGTGTTGGGGATGGGTTCGAACATCCCGCTGCGCGCTGGCCCACCATCCCTTTCAAGAGCCAATGCAAAATGACAGCGTGTACGCACCGTGCACCCTTTTGGTCACCCTATCGTACCGTTGCTTTGGTTGTGGGGCATCTGACGTGCCTGGAGCACGTGGTACACGTGGTGCTCGTGGCGCATCTTACGCGCCAGATGCGCCTAGCGCGCTTGGGCAGCTGGATCAGTCGAGGAGGAGGAGGAGGAGGAGGAGGAGGAGGAGGAGGAGGAGGAGGAGG